GTTCGTTAGTTCGTTAGTTCGTTAGTTCGTTAGTTCGTTAGTTCGTTAGTTCGTTAGTTCGTTAGTTCGTTAGTTCGTTAGTTCGTTAGTTCGTTAGTTCGTTAGTTCGTTAGTTCGTTAGTTCGTTAGTTCGTTAGTTCGTTAGTTCGTTAGTTCGTTAGTTCGTTAGTTCGTTAGTTCGTTAGTTCGTTAGTTCGTTAGTTCGTTAGTTCGTTAGTGGTGATTTTTGGATTTAAAATAAGTTAGTTTCTCGAAGTGAAATTAAAGCTCTTTTTCTTTAACAGCTTGTAGTTCCCCTCTGGGAATGTTCGATAGAAGTATCCCTGACGCAAACATTCATGCCTCATCCTATTACACTTGGATGGATTCGTGTAAACCCAAACATGGTCGTCTTCACGACTGTTCACGTTGGGCTGCTGGATGGTGTGCRAAAACGCTTTGGCCTTTAGGAGGCCAATATCTTCAGATAGACCTCGGAGTGGCTAAAAAAATAACCAAGGTAGCTACTCAAGGACGTCATGGCGTAACTCAATATGTAACTAGGTACAGTCTTTCCTATAGTAACGACACGGTGACATGGTTTGAGTATTCTGAAAAGGGCTTGATGRGCATTAGAAAGGTTCGCAAAATAACCGTAATGTAGACATTGAYTATTTATTACTTTTTACAGCAAATCTATAAACGTTGTTTACTTGTAAAGACATAGAGATTTTTTGAGCTTGAGGTCGAATAAGGCCTAATCCGGGCCAGAAAGTTGCCTTAAGTCGCTTTAAGTTTTCTTAAGAATCCACAGTGACCCGCCCAATTGCGGGGACTTATGGCGATTTTGTGGCCCGGAGTAGGCCTCGAATAATCTTGTAAAATACAAATATGATATATAAAGAAATGCACTTGTTGCTGTCTTAACTGTCTCTAACAACTGAACAACGTTTATCTTAATACGATTATGGCTGAATAGAGTTAGCTTATTAAGCTAAAGACAAGCAAAATCTTCCATCTGACCTACAGGTATTCATTGGAAATTCTAATCCTCGATCGGTGGTAGCGAACGATATTGCGGTCCCATTCAAAGCACGACACATTAGAGTAATTCCATGGGGGTACATCGGCTGGATATCCATGCGAATCGAGCTGTATGGATGTTAGATTCCCAACGGACACAAGCCTGGAACAAGAAAATCAGAAAAGAATAAGCAACCAACCATTAACAACTTAACGACCAACGAACCATTGGCCTTRTCGGAGATAACAGTTTGTATTGCATTGTGGTCTAAATTCGGTACAAACAAAGGGCGGCTCCAGGCCTCCTATAGCGATTATCGGCCGAAAGCCGTTGAAATCTCTTCAAAATTAGGTCATTTTCAACATCGATATTTGCATGRTTATTTTGGGAGTTTATATTCTAGTTTTATAGTTTAGAAATATACTTTAATGCTTTCCGAGTCCGAATTTGTGATGCATTTTGACGTAAATGGTCAATAGTCTGGTAAGCCTGTGGTTCATGCTGCCAAATAAGGCGTTGTTTATCCTGAAGCTAGACCACAATGCACCTTGATTTTGTATTTCAGAAAAGRTCTAYGATWCCACCTCCAACCACAGGGGGCCCAGGCTCAACGGTTGTGTTGCTTTCACRGCGGTGTCAAAGTATTAATTGCGGGGTTCGCGGTTCGAGMCCTCATGAAGCCGTAAATTTTTCTACTTCATTTCWTGAGACTTTTCAAGACTTTTTCTTTCTTTTCTTTTTTCTTTAATTAGTATAAACAGTTTTATGAATAAAGATTGATTTTTAAAGCCATTTTTATATTTTCYCCCCTCGTAAATAAAAATTYAAATTGGCTTTAAAAATCAATCTTTATCAGTTAATGAACTGTCTCACTGAGTCCGTTAGTCAATGCGTGCAATGGAAATGGCGGATTTTCAGTTGCTTTCTAAGAAATCACTTTATATGCCTGACTCATTCAGTAAGACCCTGTATATTGGAACAAGTGGATCAAGAACACATTGAGAACACCCAGCCTAATTTATGGCGTTTTAGGTACCATATACTAAATCTAAGAACACAATCAACCTGAAGAATCAAAATGTCTTATTAAAAACAAAAACAAACAAACAAACAACAACATGAAAAGATAAATAGCTATTTTAGTGGAAAAAAAAATACCGCATAAAAAATTATTGGAACTTATTTGACACAACTACACCTTTCGGTTTTTATCATACTCCCATCAGGGAATCCATTTAGCTTTTCACTAGTCAATTATAATTATCACCTGCATTGAAGAATTAAWTCTATTCTGTATTAGAGAGCTAGGACTTGTCCTTAAATTAAGGAATAAAAAACAGTTTTCCGTGTATTATACTATGATAAAAACACGCGGGRTGTGGGGAGAACACGAGAGAAAACTGTTTTTTATTGCTTTTATAAAATAACAAGAKCTCAAATATTCATGAGAAAAAAAAGCCGAAAAAAATTTAGGAGATAAATTAAACTACCAGTTTATCTAAATTGGTAAAAATCCAGCTATTCCATTAAACTCCATTGTAATGTAGACGCTAATCTTTCTTGCAATCAAGTAGTCAGTGGTAAACCACTCCACAGCTCGTTTCGAATAGCAACACTAGAACCAGCAAACAAGAATAACATGCATGTATATGTTTCGGAGAGAAAGAAGGACTTTCTTCAGTTTTCGTGGTCCCCGACATAAATCGATCTGAACCATTTTACAGTTTACTTGAGATTACTGCAACTTGCTTGATTGAATTTTTAAGCTTTCTTTTTCTCTGATCTTTTCTTGTGGCGCTTCTTCATTTATTACTGAGATTTTGATGAAGTTGTTTAAAGCAGATTTCAACAGGCGTTCCTTTCCATGGAACTCTGTGACGAAAAATCACAGCTTGTGCTTGGGGTCCCTGTCTAGTATGAGAACTAGAACCACAGAGCTCCTCTGCTAGAACCAGTTCCTCAGCAACAACGCCGCCATTTTGCTAGAAAGCGCGGGAAAAGAGATCACGACAGGTCATCCACGGTGTACGGAAAATAAAAAGACCAAAATGCCAGCAGGATATGAATGCACCTTTGTGGAGGATGTACCAGAAGACTATATCTGTTGTATTTGTCGTTGTGCTATGCGTAGTCCCGTCCAGACGAAGTGTGGACATCGATTTTGTAAATTTTGCTTGAACTCGTCGTTGAAGAGGTAAGATGGTGGTTGTCARTGAAATCGTACGTTYAAATATAAGCTWAAGCTTCGTAGATTCCTTCCTTATTTCGAATAATAAGTTCTTCCTGATTCAGCTAAAAGTGCTGGCGGATAAAAGAAWCGATCGGCTAATAACCTGGTGTTTTGTAGGTCTTTTSATGCAGGCGCAAATCAARTCTCGAGTGGTTTCCAAACTATAGGCTTTATAATAACCTAAAATAATATTTTTTTTAAGTTTAATGAATAGATTCGATCTTTGTGAACTTACTTAAAAGATTTTCATTATCATTCACACGTTGTAATTGTAAACGCCGATAAAACTTGATTGATCAATATGCAGCTGAGGCTTAGCCTTTTGAGGGGTGAGAAACGGATGTACACAGGCTAGCTGAGGCTCGTTGGAATTTTGACGTGGAAGTTATTTCTGGAATGCTTGGAATGTGGAATTAGTAGGGTGGAAAATTTTTAGAGTAATGTATAATGTAAACTATTTAGATCCAACTATCATTTATCATTCCACTACTTATATATAATTCATTTGTATTTATACATTTTTAATCGTCTATTTTGAACATCTTGTAAATTTCTTTGTTGGGCTTCCTGTCCCTCCTAAAATTATACATGCCAATTCACATACAGTTATTTTTAACTCAAACATTGTGTAAGCAATCAAAGAGTTATAAGACGGAGATAAATGATGGTGTGTGAGGTTGACTAGTTAATAACTCACTTATTTTTCTTTAAACATAAGGCATAATTTGTAAATCCACTACCCAAATGGTGGAGTTTTGAAACACAGTCTGTGGAGAAATAGCTTTATAGCACATGCACACAAAATATTTTGAGGTCTGCAAAATTTTGTGTTTACAAGCTTCTTACTTAATATTAATGTATTGATTTTAGAAGTCACTTYTAGGAGATTTTGTGCTCATTTAGTATTATGGGTTTTTCTGATTAAAAGTAGTCCATCTCCAAACAAAGTAAGGAGGTGCTTCCGGATTTTCATGTATGTAGTATACTAAACAATCTTCAAGTTTTGTCACCATTGGCCGCTTGATTCAGAACAGACACCTTCTTCCACATTTAAAGAATCATAAMCAACCGCCGTACCTTGCGCGCTCGTGTTATTGTTTACATACRTTTAAWTGCGTCAAGCATACAATAAATTATAGATTGATAGTACCTTTGAGGTACTTAGTGAAATATATTTCTGTCCAAACTGAAAGGACGGAAGACGATTCCCGCTCACTTTAAGAAATCCTACGAATCCGCCATTTTCGTGTCCACCTAAAATGGCGTTTCGGCTTGCAATGTATGGCGGTTAGTTATGATTCTTTAATGAAATCGCTGGTCTCTTATCCAAAGTGAAATTCTCTTTTACTATGTTTTGATTAACCATTCAGAAATTTCTTTGAACAACATCCTCCTGGATAATGAACACTCAAGAAATCAAAACATTGTTATACATACATATTATATTCTCTCTGCCAAAAGAGACAAATCTCAAAATACATATGTACACATATATACACATATCATACTGTATTTTTCTGATGCCATTATTTGTATGTGCTGTCCATATTTGGGAATGTACATGTGGTACACAGTCTTTGGCACATGTGCAGATATACTCACCCTCTCTGTGGGGGTACTCTCTTATATTCATTATATGGGGATGTGCCACCAACCAGGGTATCGTTATCAGGGATTTTACTCGTGAACAGGTATCGTTTTTAGCAAATACTCTGGAACAGGGTATCAATTTCAATGAATTTTCTCTGGAACAGGGTCAGGGTTTAATTCCAGAATTATTGATGCTTGGTAAAAATTTACGGGGTAAAAATTTAGTCTACACGCAAGCTAGTGCTGGATTTTACTCTAGAACAGGGTATCGTTTTCAGCGATTTCACTCTGAAACAGGGTCAGGTTTTGAGGTCCCAGCGGCACACCCCCACCCCCCAGGGGCTACCTTACCATGATTTTTTGACTTGTTGGTTTATCTTTTGCACTTGGGTATGGAGCTCTGATTGTGCAGAGGTTTTAGCCTTTGTGGAGCTCAGTGCTATCAATCTAGCTACAAACAACAATGACTTTGAATCCTTTTTTTTTCTACTGTAGTTTGAACAGATGTCCAGTTGACAGAGTAAATCTCAGTGCACAGGATGTAAGTATCAATGGATATTCACTGGTTGTTAAAACAATGATAATAGTTTATTCATTCTGTAACTGAGAGTCTGACTTTTAGCAAGTCTAGGAATTGATTACGTGACTGACAAAAGAAAGTATTTAGATTCATTTGTCATCTTTTGCCTTTTAATGTATTCCTAAATTCCTAACAGCTCAAGACAACATTTTTGTCATTAGGTGACTGTACATAGATAGTTTGGTAGATAGATACATGTAGACAACTTCCAGATTTCTCAGACCAATGATCTGAATTACATCTGGATTGCATAGTTG